TCTCACTGTTTTCACCGGATTGGTCTTCTTCTTTGTCACCCTCCTACAGTGCAACCCGATCTCATTTTTCTGGGACAAGTTCTCGCAATCCGGAACTTGTATTCCCGTCGACGTTATCATCGCCCTCACCTTCCTTTACAGCGTCATCTCCGTCTTTTGCGACTTCACATTCGCCCTCCTTCCGATCTTCCTCGTATGGAACCTCAACATGTCTGGGAGGACAAAAATCCTCTTAGTCCCTATTCTGGGAATGGCTTGCGTAGCCAGTATTGCGGTTCTCTGCCGTATGGCATACGTTATGGACTTCAAGAATCCCGACTTCCTGTGGGCCACCCTCGATATCGCCATCTGGAGTGATACTGAGCAAGCTCTCGGTATCACCGCCGCTAGCCTTGCAACCCTCCGACCGCTCTACCGACAGCTAGCATCCAAGCTCGGCATCAGCACAAACGCCGCCGGCGAAAGCGGGAAAGACACACCCAAATGGTACGGCGCACCGTCTGCAGTGAAAGAGTCAAAGAGGAAAAGTGTGTTCAACTTTGGCACTCTGATGCGGACTGAGAAGGGAGTCACAGTCAGGGATAAGGAGAACGACTACGGTATGGGTAACCTCCAGCCCATTCGCCTCAGGGACGACCTCGTTGACGACAGTCAAGTTGAGAAGAGCGAGAAGGGCTTCCAGACATGGACAGTGTCCGCAGGCGGCAAGAGCTTCGACGAGGAGCGCGCCGTACCGCCGTTACCCACTGGGAAGATCACCATGCAAAAGGACATAGTCCAGGAGTCGGAGAGACGCTCTTTTTGATTGCTACACACCCGTTACAACCCTCAGTAGAAACGAGATCACGGTACTGGGAACCACGATACACAGCGACGGACAGCCTTTCTTTGCGACGATACCCGGATTTGGAAAAGGCGTACTGTACACAATGACTAGAATTAATCAACCACACCCGTCTTCTCCTCTACGTCCTATTCACAACTCTCGCGCACCGTGTAGACGTAGAATCAAGTCTGGCTCATCTTGGACTTGCGCTGTACTTGTTGCGGAGGAACTCCTCGACCTCGGCGTCAGTCGGGCCTTTTCCTGAAGTTGCGGGCGCTCTCGTATTGGGAGGTTCCGTGTGCGGTCGCACCGGTAGATCTGCCTGGGCCGGGGGATCAATGGGCTGCTGCTGTGTCGGCGCTTTTACCCCAGATGCATGGGTTTGCTGTTGTTGAGAAACCCCGTTTGTGGGAAGTGCCGGTGCGGCCTCGTTTTGCGGTGGGTTTCGAGTTCCACTAGCAGCGTCGCGCTGAGATGCTCCGGGCGCTCCCGTTCGCTCGTTCGTCGGCAGCAAGGCTCCGTGGTACGGCTTCTGTGCAGTCTTGATTGCGTCCTTGTCGACTTTCCAAATACCTCCCGCGCGATCTACGGTGAAGGAGCTGGGGTCGTGCTGCGACAGTTTGTCGAAGACCGCGTCGCGTTCGACTGGTTTGAAAAAGCGGTGCTTCCAGGGCGTCCCGTTAGCAGCCTCGTCCTTCCTCATCTGTCGCTGCCCCTGCTCGACCACCGACTTGGCGTCTGTAGATCCCTTCATGTCTCCTCGCCTGAGCGCTGCAATAACATCACCCCATGCCCTTCGCGATTCCCACGGGTCTTGCTCAGCTAGATCGTCGATCTGCAGTGGTAGTGTCTTGAGCGTTGCAAAGTCCATGCTTTCAACCGCTTTCCCTGTTCGCGCGTCTTCGAATGTTGTTTCGCCATTCCAGGCTCCTTTGGCTTCGTATAATGTCTCGTTTGGGCGATCGACGTGGAACAATCTCGCCGTGAACCCATTCTTCTGGCCACCGCCGAAGAATGACTTGCCTTCAAATCTGATCTGCGAGATATAGCCAGTCGACGAGACAAGTGAGTAACTGCCTTGCAGTTCCGGGTATGGCTTGCCACCCAATATACCTTTGACCTTAACGTTCGGCACGGGCATCAAGTAGTCCTCGTCGTACTTATCGATGTGCAACATAGAATAGCCCTTTTGCTTTATGCTGACATTTCCAGAAAAGGTGATCTCCTGTTCGGTGAAGCCCTCTGCGCGCACTCCGTGCTTGTCGTTCCAGATGTAGCATGCTGTGATTGGCGGATGGTGACTGACCTGCTCAGACACGAGTCGAGTCTGTCCAAGCTCATCATCTTCCCACTTTCCTATAAACAATTCGCCCAGGAAGGCATTTAACGGCTTTTTGATACCCTCTGACTCGTCCCTTCCAGCGTATTGCTGGTTGCGAAGTGCGCCCATAAAAGACTCCAGGACGTTCAGAGCCCTCTGCTCCTCGGTCTCACCCCAAGCTTGGCGCACAAAGAGATGCGCATGGTCGCACCAGTACTGCGGGATCTCGACAGTGGAGTTCTCAGCCAAGACGAAAGGAGGAGCTGTGATGTTGGAAAGGTCGCCGGACATTGTCGCGATCGACCCAAGGAAGTCCTTCAGGGCGGACCTGTTCGCAGCAATCGATGTGTCGCCCATGATTCAGACTTGGCTGATGCTGGTACGAAAAAGACCCTGGGATCGTCGTTGCTTGGATTATGGGCCCTTTGTAGGTTCAAATCTGGCTGTATCGTCGCTGATGTATCCATGGTGTCGTCGCGGGTAACTCTCGATGCGGCACTATGCGGCTGGTGGCGATGACGTCGTTCGGTCGCTTTTCGCCGACGCTGTAAGCTGCTGCGCCTTCGCTGCGCTATGAAGCGCGACCTCACCAACTTGGCTAGGCGACCACGATCCAGTGCACCAAATTCGATGTGTACGCAGAATCTTTACTGGCTGCACAGTAGGTGTCTATTGTGAGGAGCGAACGTTTAGTGGAGGTCGTCACAACTGCCTTCGAGCCACGCGGTCTCATCGTCCCTCATCAGCGGCCACGCACGCGTCGCGAACCTACGCTTGACCCATCGGCGTGAGGCCTACAATGCTGTCACTCACGAGTTAGCCGCTACTCATCTGTACAGGAGCTGATTGTAGCGCGTCAACAGCTGGCGACCTCGATCTAACACAGTCGTCGAAGTATTGTGGCTGTCTAGAGGGTCACGAAGAGACGCCGTCGAAGTATTTGTACATCTCCTCGGCTCTCCAATCCCGTCAAAAGATACATCATTATTCACACGTTTGCAGGTCCTCATACTAGGACAGCTTAGCAGTCACATCCCACGTTGTTGGTAACAAGCAGCCGCGAAGATGCAGCCAAGCTATATCCGTCTCTCTCGGCGCAGTGCCATGCCGCTCTTCGGCTCATGTCGGACCAGGAAAAGACGCAGCTCACAATAACACCGACATGAGTACTCCGACGAGCACTACACTTCTCCACAAAGTCGACTGCTACGACTGCCTATCTCTACAATAACAGCCCGAAGACATGGGTCCTCGTGGATACGGTTAGCCTCCGCTTGGCACTCTTTCTACGCATGTTCTAGCGTCCCTGTAAAGTGGGTTATCTTCCCACCGATATCAGATAACGGCGTGCAGCTTCGACACTCGCCCGACGCCTTTATGTAAACGTCGCTTCGTACTTGACTCCCGCATGTCAACGGGCGTACTTGGCAGCAGGTGGAATACCACGATGACGGTAGTGTGCTGACCGTCCACTATGGTACAAGATAAGAGTCTTGGTAATGGGCAGACTGATAAACCGGCCGAGGTGGAGGAACCGTGTACTGAAGACTATAAAGAGCAGTGCTCAGTAGCGATGATCGCTGTAGAGCAACTTGACCGACCCCTCAAGTTAACAAGATGAAGACCCTCACGCAGCTTCTTCCTCTCTTTGCTTCCTTGGTCTTGGCTTCGCCCATCGACTTGACCAAGTCAGGACTTCACGACTTGTTCGTTCGCCAGGACATCCAGACACCCATCAACGCCAGCCTTCCTAATGTCACCATCTTCGCAACAGGAGGTACGATAGCCTCTCAAGGCTCCAGCAATACACAAACCACTGGGTACTCGGTTGGTTTAGGTGTCCAGCAACTGGTCGATGCAGTTCCGGAGCTTCTCAACATTTCCAACATCGCCGGATACCAAATCTCCAATGTAGGCTCCGGTAGCATCAACGAGACCATCAGCCTGAAGCTGGCACACATGATCAATGAAGAGCTAGCGAAACCCGAGATTTCCGGTGTCATCATCACCCACGGAACAGATACTCTTGAGGAGACAGCTTTCTTCCTCGAGTCTACCGTAAACTCGAGCAAACCCGTCGTATGCGTCGGCGCCATGCGGCCAGCAACCGCGCTCTCCGCCGACGGTCCCCTCAACCTGTACCAAGCCGTCGTTCTCGCGGGCTCTCCTGCGGGCCGCAACCGGGGCACCATGATCGTGCTCAACGACCGCATCGGCTCCGCCTTCTACACCACCAAGAACAATGCAAACAGCCTCGACACCTTCTTCTCGACTGAGGCCGGCCAGCTCGGCACCTTCGTCAATCAGGTCCCGTACTTCTTCTTCGCGCCCGCAGAGCCCGTGGGCCGCGTGATCTTCGACGTGTCCAACGTGACCGACCTCGCGCAGGTTGACATCCTGTACGCGCACCAAGACATGGATCCCGCGCTGTTCAATGCTTCAGTTGCCGCCGGCGCTGCGGGTATCGTGTACGCGGGTGTAGGTGCGGGCGGCATGTCTAGCAAGGCGAATCTAGCCGCCGAGCAGCTGTTCAATGCGACCAGCATCCCAATTGTTGCCTCACACAGGAGCACAGACGGCATGGTGCCGCCCAGCAGCGATGGCGACTTTGTCATCTCGAGCGGGTTCTATAACCCCCAGAAGGCGAGGATCTTGCTGCAGCTTGGACTGACTGTGGGGTGGAGCAATGAGGAGATTGCGGAGGCTTTTGCGAAGAGTCTGCCGATGCCGTAGATGAATCGACAGAGATACAGCATTTGATACCAGGAAAATACATCAGTAGTGCCAGGAGAATGCCACATGTTGGAATTATAAGTGTTGCTTTTACAAAACTGTTTATACAACAACACATTTGGTCGCTTAGCTCAGTTGGTTAGAGCGTGGTGCTAATAGTTCAAATCCTTGATACGCCAAGGTCGCGAGTTCGACCCTCGTAGTGACCATCCTTTTTGCGGCCGTGGGTGACTCTGTCCCCGCGAGGAGTTTTTGTTCCGTGGAATTTGGGTGTGGAGGTTGTGGAGTCAGAGTTGCCGAGATTTGCCCTGACTCTCACCACTCAGAAAATCGAACACGGTTCTGTACTCATTGGTAGTCTGTAGACGTCCTGCTCGCTATTAAAATCTATGCAAACTATCACTGAAGATCATCTGTACTTTTAAGGTCTTGATAGTTGCAGCCAGCATTTGCCGCAACATGAGAGCCTAGCCTAGCCGAATCGAGCGACAAGGCGCGGATGTCATGTTGAACGTGATAAAACAGGAAAGAGTATGATACAACGAGGTCTTGACAACAATAACCAATGTTTTTCGAAGAAACACCCTCTGAGATCATTCAAAAACACAACAGCTGTTCCCAGGCAACATGTGCCGATCTTCTGATCTCACAGCGTCAACATCCGCACCACCTCCGTCAAGCCGAGTCTACACCAAGAACATCCCGCAAAACCCCATCTCACAAGCCGCATTCGAGCATGCCTCAAACCTGCTTGCGCCAGCAATACTCAGCCACAGCATGAGAGTCTACCTCTACGCCAAAGCACTTGCCGAACACGCCGAATCAGTCTACGCAACCGACCCTGCAAAGCTCGATCTGCTGTTCACCGCATGCTTGTTCCACGACATCGGAACGACAAACAAGTATGATGGATTGCAACGCTTCGAGGTCGAAGGAGGCGACGCAGCAGTCCAGCATCTGGACCAGTTCGGCATCGGCGCGGTGGACAAGCACGATGTCTGGACCGCTATCGCATGCCATACGAGTCCGCAGATAGCCGAAAGGATCGGAGAGTTGTCGAGACTCGTCAGGCAAGCGGTAGTGACAGATTTCGGTCGCAAGAGCTCGGTCTGGGACGTACTGTTACCTCTGAGAGAGGGGATCGAGAGAAATTTGGGCCGGGCGGGGATTGAGAAAGTGCTTGGGGACGCGGTGGTGGAACAGGCGAAGAGACGGCCGGAGAAGGCGCCGATGGTGTCATGGCCGGGTGCTATGTACAGGGCGCATCTCGCGGAGCCAGACTGGAGCGGCGTAAACAAGATGTTCTGATGGCGGCTGAGGGGGGCTATCAAAGTCGTGCTGGACCGAGCCAATATACATGTAGGTTTCACATGAAATGTCCACCGTTGTTCATCATAGGCGCTGCGTTGGGATCCATAAAATTGAAGTCGTTGCCCAGTAATGTCGTAATCAGTTGATCCTCAGAGAACCATTCGCCCATGTTTCCGCCTGGAGCAAAGACATTCATATCGAACGATGCATTGGGCTGAGTAGAAGTTCCATATGGGTCGAAATTCGAGCCGTTGAATCCAGCTTCATACGTGTTGTTGATTCCAATTCTGGTCATGAAAGGGTCGAGCTCTTTCCGCAACTGTGTTTGTGTCGGCTGGTCGAGAGATTTAGGATTGGAAAAACTAATGTCTCTTGCGGCAGCGCCGATAAAGAGTTTAGCAACACGGTGGAAAACATCGCATACCAGGAACATCTTCTCGATGGCACTAGACGTGCCACGGGCGGGCTGCAAGGTTTGCAGAAAATCACCAAGCAATGCCAGGTCGCCTGTAGACTGTGTTTCGATGATGTGGCAGAAGATAACCAGGAAGGGGGTAAAAGGTGTGTGAAGCAGAGTCCAATGCAAATATTCTGCGAAAACATGTCTGTCGGACATGTCGGCGAATTTGGCAGTACATCTTTGATGAAGTTGTAGCGCTTGTCTTGCTGCAGTGATACAATCCTGGCTACACGACAGTGGTTGATCTTCGGCTGCTGGAATCGCTCTAAGCACCAGTGTGAGTGTTGTAGACATGGTCACTTTGTCCCCAAGCATAAAGACTTCATGCGTCTCCTCAGGTGTACCGGGTATGAGTCCTATCTGGTCATGCTCAGACCACATTCGCCTGATGTCAGTGACCAGCAAATCAGCTTTGGCCGCTCTGGAAGCTTTGGGTTGCTTCAACGCACGAGGGCTGTACAGATCTTCGTAGATGCGGCCTTGGATTCCTGCGAGTGAACACCAGAACCGGACTAAACCATTACCCGCAGAAAAGTTTTCGTCTGTCCCCAAGACAGGCATAGGTACAGCGATGTCGTAGTCTTGGATACATGATGCGCGACCAAGTCGAAGGCACAAGCCTTTGTCCATAATGTAGAGGAACCAAAAAAGATTGATCTTCCGGCTGCGCGTCTCGGGTGAGTCTTTGGCCATGGAGTCTGCGCGATGGTAGCCTAAAGTAAAGCACAAGTGACTCGCCTTCGAAATGAGAGCGGAGCAGAGCGAGGGCTTCGAAGCTTCGACAGCATAGTAGGCCTGGAGAACATCAGCGTAAATTCTAAAAGCCCGCATGGAGGAGGCCAGATGTACTTACGCCAAGCAGCAGAGCTTCGAAGTTGTCTACAGTAGGTGCCATCAAAACTGGGAGTAGTCCGATCAAATCCATCATGTTCCGAACGAACATAGCAGAATACGAATGAAACTCCTCCATGCGTGGGTCATCTTTCGCGAACCCAAATTGATAGGCCCTGAACACGAAGTAGAGGCTGCCGAACGCGACAATCAGATTCGACACGGGTATATCGTCGATGTTGAAGTACAGATCCTTGCAAAGACCTAAAATCTCCTTGTAGGGCCTGACCGGGTAGAACAATCCAACAACAATGTCGTACACCTCCTCTGTCTCTCGAAGCACCTGTGAGACCACCTCTGCTGGAGGGACTTCATATCGACGGTTACTTCGTGTAGCTCTTCCAGTACTAGGAACCTCATGTTCGCCTGGGTACACATTTTGGGTCGACACGATCTGACTGAGAGAGGTCAACGCAGCGGCGAGGTCGGGGTCCTGTTGCAGTAACTGAGTGTTGCGCAGGGCGCGTTGTAATTGGTCGTTAGTGGACGTGGTATATGCGCTGAGAGATGTATCACCCTCAAAATGTTGGATGGTAGACCCAGGTGTAGCAGCGGGTGTAGCGGTCACTGAGTGCCTGCTCGAGGGAGATGGGGATGCCTGCGCTTGGCTGTGTGGAGAAGACGATTGCGGTGAAGCCATCTTCATATCTCGTAGAGCTCTCTCAATGCCAGCAAGCCGACTCCCGATCGCATCGATCTTTGATTCACTACAACGAAGGTGTCAGATGAAGGTTGTCCTATTGATAAATCGCTCAGTGTAGAGTTTTGTCTGTGTCGAGACGATGCATCCGCATTCATCGAACATACTTTTGTGTGCGATCGAGCATACGTTGAAACTAAACACAATAGGCTGTAACAGAAATGGTAGATTCACTTACTATTTGCTGGAGATGAGCACTCGTTGCCTTTGCTCCTTGGGCCTGTTGTTGGATGCTTGACAATCAAGATCCGAAGCACGACAGCTCGCACAAGGTCTACCTTTGTCACACCGAATCTGTAACGTACAGGGGTCAGTCCGGTATCGTGTCTCCTGCTCTATCGAGGGGTTGTACCTTACGCGTCCGGCACTGATCACACTAAGCCATGGTTAGCATGCAGTTCGAGACCAAGGCCACACCAGCCACACGTACTGCACGTAAGCCCGCTTGGCTATCGCTAGAAGTGGTGGCACCTTCCATACTGAGAATTTTGTTTGTTATACGCCACAAGAACGTGGGGAGATGGTGAGGGTGATTGAGGCTTAAGTTGTTGCGCGGCCACCGGTAGGGCTGAGCGATGAGGTGCCGTGATTGGCCAGAACGATAGATTCCGTCCGCGGGTCCCGAAAGGGCTGAAGAACTCTCTCAGGAGTCATGAGCCACAGTCGCTTACGTCAACGCCCTAGTGCTGAGGCGCAGCAATCTCTGCCTGCAGAGATCATCTCGATAGCGTTTGGCCAGGTCTCGAGAGGGCGTAGTTGAGGGAAGAAGGAGATGAGACAGCGTCTGTGCGTCGAAACTCGCACTTTGTCGGCGCTCTAACTTGCCTAATTTGGCAGACATCGCGTCTCTTATATTGCACCAAAAATGGGCTTTGAGCAAGACTCTTAGAATTAGAGGAGGTAACTACGGGTTGTTTGTACATTCTCTGTAACAAGACAAAAGCCCTGAAGGCTACAGTTTGTATCTTGTTTCTTGCGCAACGGAAGAGCGCGTATACTTTTCGCGATTCTCATTCAAAATCCTCCTCAGATAGATGTATGACTCCAGTTCGCCCAAGATGACGCCCTTCTGTCTGGACAAGGCGGCGTCAAGGCCGGGTTGGGAATGGCACAGATGTCTTGGTAGAGGAGCCGACTGTCGCAGCCCACTACTCAATCTCGGGATGCGCTGTTGCGATCTCTTTTGCGTAGGTCTTTGTGAGATCGCAGAAGTGCTCTGACCGCGTCTTGATTTCAAACCTGGCTCGGTGGATCATCATTGCTGTAGCGAGTTCAGCGTTGTTCAAACCTGCGTTCGACTTCACTGTAGATCGGTCAGCATGAGTACCTCCAAGCCAAGACGAAACATACTTTCACGGTCGCTTTGCATCATGTCGGCAATCCTATCAAGGCCATGGAACTTGTGCTTTCCAAGTATGGGACCGATGGCCATCCAATTATAGTTCGAGTCTTGGATGATAGGGTAAGTCTGAGCCCATATCTTGATGCTGTCAAGCTCGGCGTAGGCAGCGTTCAGATATCCATCTTTGTGCACAAGCTACTTGATGAGGTCATCGGCTCTCTCAGGCGGTTCTCGAGTACCCGGGTCTATCTGCTCTGGCACTGTCGATACAGCTTTCGTAGGTGCAACCGAAAGAGCTCCAGGGAGGCACTTCTCAGTGGCCTGTCTGCAGGTTCTCCCTATGTCAGTAATCTCTCTGGCAGCAGTACCAATATGCTGTAGGTGGGGTCTTGTCCCGTTGTCTCTTATCGCTTAGTAGTTGGCAACCTCCTGATCAAGAGCTGATCTCTCTGAGCGAAGCTTCTCGATTTCGGCGCCCTGCTCAGCGTTCATCCTGCCAAGCTGA